GCCAAGGTAATGCTAGCTCATGGATACAAACAAAGTCAATGAGATTATACACTTTTCATCAAGCATTCGGCTTCAGGGGGAGTCACGATATTAATAGTATATGTAGACGACATCATAGTGACAGGAAATGATGAGGTAGAAAAGAAAGTCTTGGAGTGTCTAGCCAAAGAATTTGAAATAAAAGATTTAGGAAAGTTAAAATACTTAATTGGTATAGAAGTAGTTCGATGTAGACATGGAATTTTCATCTCTCAACAAAAATATGTTACAGATATACTCAAAAAGACAGGAATGGTGGCTAGCAAACCGGTTGGAACTCCCATTGAACAAAATCACAGACTAGGTGAAGCTCTTGGAGACAAGACAGTGGATAGAGAGATGTATCAACGGCTCGTTGGAAAACTCATTTACCTTGCTCATACTCGGCCAGACATAGCCTACTCGGTTAGAGTCATTAGTCAGCTTATGCATGATCCTAGAGAGGTTCATCTACAGGCAGCCTATCAAGTCCTTCATTACTTAAAAGCACATCCTGGCAAAGGAATTCTATTCAAGAAAGCATCAAACATTGACCTTGCAGTATACACAGATGTTGACTTTGCAGGATCACTGGTTGACAGATGATCAATCACAGACTACTGTACATTCTTTGGAGGGAACTTAATTTTCTGGAGAAGCAAAAAACAGTGTGTAGTAGCAAGGTCAAGTGCAGAAGCTGAGTTCAGAGCTATGGCAGCAAGAATATGTGAATTAATGTGGATCAAGATTATTTTAGAAGACCTGAAAATTCAATAGAGCATATCTATGAGACTATATTATAACAATAAGTTAACTATAAACATTACCCACAATCTTGTGCAACATGACTACATGAAGCATATCGAGATATACAGACATTTTATTAAATAAAAGTTAGATAGTGGTTTGATTTGTACACCATATGTTCCTACAGGGCATCAGTTAGCAGATGTAATGACAAAAGAGTTATGTAATAATATATTTCATGAGAACATTAACAAGCTAGGAATTGACCTTTATTCACCAGCTTGAGGGGGAGTACAAGAAATTGTGAATAAATTATTATAGGAGGATTTTTAGGATAGGAAATCAAGGATAATAATTAGATCCTAAAGTTTAGGAAATTGGCTGATTAACCCTAGATTCTTTCTTAATCTTATGTAACAGAAAGTGTATATATATATATATATATATATAGTGAAGGGAATAGCCTGTACATATACAGAAAAAAGAATAATACAAACTTGCTCAGTACTCTTCAGATATCATAGCATGTGTTAGCTCACTGACTTCTAGCTAGTCTAATCTTGGACCTTACAAGCCATCGGATTGTGCTTAGGGATTGTAATGAATGGCTTTGATGAGAACATCAGGAATTTGAATAGTGGAGATTATGATGCTCCAATCTCACATTAGAAGATATGTGATTATTGAGCTCATATAAGAGCTCAAACTACTAATCACATGGCCTTTAGCTTTTGAGGATTAATAGTTTTAAGTTTAAAAAATTGTTTGGTCAGTGATGTTTAAACCTAGGAAGTTACACTTACCCTGCATTTGCTGCACAAATTCTTGAAAAGCAACTAAGAGCAAGGTCAAGGCCAATAATTCTTCTGTTTTTGTTTAACTTGAAAAGTAAACCTTCTAAAAGGGTTTTGTAAAACCTTAGTGCCCTGTGAGAAGGGCATGTGTTAGATACTTTGTTAGCATGTGCTCTCTCACATGGGCACGCCCGCATTGACTTTCAAGTATCTTACACCACCATTGATGATTCTCATGACAGTTTTTGAGTAAAAACTGATTCTTGAATGATTATGATAGTTTATTAGTGTGTCAACTGCAACTTTGTTAGAAATCTATATTTTAAAATATCAATTTCGATATATTAAATAATTAATTGTATATAAATATATTTTTTATATGATATAACTTGAGCAGTAATGTAAAAATTAATTTAATAGTTTATTAATTATGCAGCATATAAAACACAATTGGTTTAAATTAGACCATCTTAATTATACAAAAGTTTTTGCATGTCTTAATATCTGAAATCTTTTTAAGAGTAAGATTTAAATATTTGTTTTTTATTATTTTGCATTAAGATGAATAGTGATAGTTTATTTCCAAAAAGATGAATAATGATAGTAATGATTTATTTTTTACATACTCTCTTAAATTATTTGTTCTATTTTGTTTACTATATTATCATTGAATCTCTTTTTAACTTTTTTAATTAAAAAATAATTTTTTTAAATATTTAAAAAAAAAATCAGTATGCATGTCTTAAAGATGTAACTAATCTTATTTTTTAAGTCCATTTCATCTAGGAAAAATGATAATTATAAACTAGAATTATTGCTCAAGTGGGTGTTTGAGATTCTTATTGTCTACTGATAAGCAGCTTTAAACATTCGACTCCAATCTCTTTGTTTAGTAACATAAAAAAGTGGTGTCCGCAAAGTTACTTTAAGAATGTACAAATAAACATTCAATTCCTAACATATTGTACAAATGGAGTGAGCTTGCCCATTAACCTTTGCTTTTTCTAGCTCTTCGCCCTTGTTTAGGGTTATCACAGTCTTAACATATGAAATCCTAAGCATATGGATTTTTTATCATTCCTGATTGATTTTGGTTATGTTCATTTATTCTTTTTCTATACAATCCGAAGCATATGCAATGTAAGAGACATACAGCTTAGAATTTTTATTTGTGCACTTGTATGATTGTGCGGTTCAACCTATTTGCATGAAATGCATGAGTAATAAGACTTTCTTCTTAAGCAAAGACTACAAGATTAGCTTGGTTGCTAGTAGGAGTCCAAACATTAGGTTGGGATAGCTAAGGTGAGTTATGCCTTTCCTAAACTGTACCCTAGTTTCTAAACTTTTTAATGGGATGGACAGCTGAGTCCCCTTGTAGGGATTCAAAGAGTCAGGAGTTTTGTCCCAGTGGAAATTCCCTCACTTATTCTCCAAGTTAACTTGCAGGCTAGTATGTATTCTCTAGGGTTTCGATCCCAATGCCCTTGAGATTGTTGAGATCTCGGATTGCGAGTCAAAAAGGGGATAGTGAAGCCAAATGCAATTAAATTCAATTCTTTTGCTCTTGAGAATAGTTTTTGCATCACTGCACTTTCACATACCATTTCCCGTTTGTCCCAATAGCTAGATGATATGGTGCAGTGGAAAATTCAATTCCATTTGATTACTTGCAAGTACCTACTGAAAGGTTAAAAAAAGAACATCTCCAGGTTCCTAGGGAATCCTTGGAATGTGTATGACTACCTGTTACTCATGGAAGTCTAAGCCATTTAAGTACTTTGCGTGTAGTGAAATAAACATTCTTGCTAAGGATGCTCTTTTCCATGTCTTCAGATTTGGAAATCAGGGAGACACATTTTTTGTGTAGTGGGGACACTTCGTCGGGATGGGCACACCTATGCAAGTGGTAGGCAAGTGTCTACCACCTTATAGGCACAACATGGTAGAACACCTACTACATGGCATACTGGTGCCTATTTGACTGAACGGCCGTTTGATGTACGTCCTACGTGTTTTGAGAGATTACTTCCATTGGTATTCATGTGAAAACCTTAAGCCTAGAATGGGAACATCTCGGCCAAGAAAAGTGTGTAGGAGGAAAAAAGTTGAAGGAACTTGCATGCCTCTGAACACCAAACACGAAAGGCTATAGAATGCTTATATTCATGCAAATTGAAATTGCAAGAGAATCACATCAGTAACTTGAAAGCGTCCGTAAACAGCAAATAATAAGTCTAACAGAGAAAAATTGTTGAAGACAATGAGTACTAAGGAACTCCAAGAACATTTGATGCATCGGAGAAGTTGAATGTGTCCGAGATACAGGCCATGATTCAACAGATGGAGAAAGTTGTGATTGTTGTGAAGGAAAGGAACATCAACTTCAAAAGAACTATCAAAAGAAAGAAAGCCCAAATGAGACTTCTCCAGGAAAAGACAACCCAATATATGAGGTATCCCTGCTTCAAAGGAGAGAAAACTTGAAAAGATGTTAGAACTCCCGAAGAAGATGGAGAGGATAATGAAAAAAAAAAAAGGTTATGGAAGATGTTCTTGACTATATAGAACTCATCTAGGTGGGAAGAGTAAGTTACCAGCTAAATTTTACATGCCGATGTTGAATAAGTTTAATAGAATGGTAGATCCAGACATACACCTGAGACAATAGGTAACCATCATGAGCACCACAAAATTACCTAAGGCCCAAGTTGGTCAAGCTTTACACTCTCAGCCTAGAAGGAGTTGCCACATTGTGGTATCATGGTCAAAAGAAATCAGTGATGACTGGTTGGAAAAGAATATCTGAAAGCTTGTGACACAATACAGTTACGAATTTGAACTTGATATAACCCTTAAAGACTTGGGAATGAGTATGACTTGCCAAATGGAGACAGAAGACGAGCAAGGTGCAAAGTTTCAGGTAGAAGGAACACATGCTGCGACCTGTAAATTTGAGCATGAACCCTTTCTGTTGGGAGGCAAGAAGATGACCAATATGGCCAGAGCCTTGGTGATGCAGGACAAACTTGTTCATTTGCTTGCATTTTTTCATCCTAATATCTTAGCAGAATTAATATCAAGAATTACCTTGTGATGGACAATTGGGGATTTCCCCAATCATGACTAAACATTAACCAGTAAAATAAAGAATCCTTGCACAGTGCTATTCAGAATTTGCATTTTCTGTCTCATTGAACATAATCCACT